GTATTTAATAATTATTAATATTTATCTATAATTAATAATAATTAATATTAATGAGAATTATAATTAGAAAAAATGACAATAAGCTACCAATATGTTACTCTAAGTAGTGTTTCAATAAGCTAGCTTATGTACATTTACGTATACCCAACTTATTTTTATCAAACAATGCATAACAGTTGAAAAGATCATTTGTGGGTGTTATAATCTCTATGGAAATTAAAAAAAGATAAAAGTCCATGTTTACCTGATATTGGTTGTCTTTAAATTTTTTAAAAGCAACATCAATTATCTCTTTTAGAACCCGTTAGCAACATTATTATCAAATTCAACAATAGGAAATCGTTCAATCACATATGCCTTACCGTTAACTGAACAATGCCACCTGCTATATATACCAAACCTGTAATATTCTCTCTGTATTCCAATCACCTATAGCTATAGTCACACAAAAACCACCTGGAAAAAAAAACAAGGTACACACCGAGCAACATACTGAGAAAAAAACATAAGAAATAAAGATACAGAATGCGTAGATAAGAAATTGATTATGGAAAACTTGATCTGAGATGGAGAAAACTCGAGCATAAATTGATCATCGAAACCCAAGCAGTGATGAAAAGCGACGAAGAAATCAAACTTGGAGAGCGATACATGAATAAGAAAACAGAGCAATGGAGAAATCAAACTATTTTGAAAAGCATAAATTGAACCATAAAGAAAACCATATAGAATCAAAAACAAAAGGAAACATAAAGATAAACAAAGATAAGGAACCGATATGAGAAGAAAGAATAAAGCGAACCATACAAGAAGCAAGGTTGGCGACTCAGAGGGAAGGGGCGACCAAATAGACGATGGTTTCCAAGTAGAGAGCCTTTAGGGCATCAATCATTTTTGAAAAGGGTAGAAACGAAGTTAGGGCATAGACGGACCTAGAGGGGTGGTTAAGTGGCACGTGCCACCGTATTGTTCCTCTGGGGTAAGGTAAAAAAAATTCGGTTCGTGAAAGGTGCAACCGTTTTATTCTAGAATGTGCAACCGTTTTATATGGTACCACCATATCCAAAAATTCTAGGGTTCGTCCCTGAGTGAGGGTGCCGGGAAGATGGAAGGAGAATGAACATCACAAGAATTTTGAATTTTGAAATCAGTTTCTATGTTTGGAAGAGTACGGTCCTATAAAGCAATTTGCAGTCTTTCTGGTTGTAAACATTTGCATCAACAACTTGTATACCAACCATAAAAACTTATAATTTTTTTTATGTAAAATTTTAAATTGTGTAGACACGAAAAAAAATTCATGATTCCCAAATTGAGATGGTAATGGAATCTTAAGGGGCGTTTGGTCACAAAATGTTTTTTAAAAGAATGAAATATGTCCAATGAATTAGAATTTTGAAAGAATTGGAATGAAATGTTTTCAAGTTTGACCAAATGTTTGGTTGGTATGAACAAAAATGGAGTTTGTCAGACATATTGTAATCCATCTTTTTGGTTAACCATTCTAATCCCTTTCAATTCCCTAAAAATCCCACGAACAGAACGTCTATTTATTTTTCGACTTTGTTGACATCTCTATTTATATGAACTTATTTTTGCTTAAATCATAAACACAATAATTTTTGATTCTCACATATCATTCTACAATGTAAATACCGATTAAATATAATTTTTTTGATTAAGTTGACGTTGTTTTCTACACCGTGATACAATATAAAAGCGATCTAAATCGAGTTATAATATTTTTAATTATATCGAGTTTGACATTTCATGGTTGTCATTATCTCTATGGCAATACAAACACTTTGTTTATTTATTAGAAGGGTACTCGCGCAATGCAGCGAGAAACATTTTTATTTTAATGTTTTGTTTTATCTTTTGTCTATGTTGATATAATACGGTTTATGTGGTTTTGAGAAATATATTGTTTTTTACTTTTGAATAAAAATAAATTTGAAGATCATAAAAATTTGAAAAAATATATTGATATTAATATCAAATTAATTATTCAAAAGTTCTTGTTGTTTTTTTACAATTTTTTTAGTTCAATTTTTTATTATAATTTAATTTAGGTCAAACAGTGAAGTAATTTATTTTTAGCTTAACAATAAATTTTTTTATAATGATAATAATTCTGTTAGAACTCAATGATTATCCTAATTATATTTTAGATTTTTATATTTAAAATTAAATGTTTATCCTATATTTGATTATGTTTATCTGCAGTTAGTTATACGAATTCAAAAATTGAGCTTTAGTATGTTGTACTTACGCACAATTTACTTGTGATCTTAAATTTTAAGTAACATGCATTAATACACAGTACTTCATGCATAAAGAATGAGTTTTTAAGAGTTTTTATCAAATGCTCTATAATATAGTATAGATTATTATAAACTATGATGTTATTTTTGCAATTTTCAAAGATCAATGATCATTCCGAAATGAAAAATTAAATTCAGACGTGTAAAAAGACAATAATCAAACTAAAATACGATTAAGGGGGTGTTTGAGATTGCTTATTTGAAACAATTTATATTTTTCTACAAAAACACTTATCAACTTATTATAAGTCAGAAAAGTTTAACTTTTTCAAAAACTTCTTATTATCGATTTGACACCGGTATAAGTTGTTTGTCCAAACACTTAAAAGTGCTTATTACTGGCACTATACCGAAATAAGTCAATAAGTTGTTTTTATAAGCAATCCCAAACACCTCCTTAATTGACAGAATATAATATTTAAGAGGTCATTTCTGTCTTTTTTGCACATTGGATTTTTATTTATTTTAAATTTATCTAATTCATATTTTACCTATTTACCCTTTTATACGTTTCTCATCAGCTTCTATCCACGGATCGACAGCCTCCCTCAAGTCGACATCTTCCTATCGGACAATCGAGATCTAACAGGTAACCTTCTCACAAACTATTTGCAAATCCATCGATTTCCATCTTCATCTCAGATTTCTTCCATTTCCATCTTCTGGTCATCGACATCTTCATCTGCAAAATCGATTTATTGTTTTAAACTACCACCACCAACAAAATCGATTATCTTCATCTTCAAGAACGATCGATTTGCAGATTTCTGAGCAAGCTAAATAGAATCCTTCTATTAGAGATCTTTACAAGGGACGGCAAGGTTCACAAGTCTGGTACAGTTTTGTAAACAGACCTGAAAGAGAAGTATGAGTTAAACTGGTTCATAGTTACTGATAGGGTCACAAATGTTTAACCCAATACATATTAGATTTAGAGGTACTTGTGAGAAATGTATCTATAGGTTCGCATATGTGTACATATCATTATTCTCTTCTTCCCTTAAGGAACTTGTACAATTTGAACTTGATTAATAACTTACAAGTGATGCTTACTCCCTGTTAGGCTTTTTGCTGTTTGTATTTTATCATCATTTTCTTTTTATCTTTTATACTTGCTAACAAGGTGTTTGATGTAATGCCTCAGTGACAGCAAGTTTAATAATTGTGTTCCATATTACATAAAAGTTATAGTAGTCAGGTCCTAATTGTTGTTGTGGGGTATATGTTGCAAACAGGAAGTTTTAGTGTTGTCAATTGGCTTTTAGGGAAGAAAAGAGCATCCTGAATTCTAAAAGATTGTCTTAAAAGACAACAGGCCAAGGCTTATTGACCATTTTCCATCATAATTGTGAATTGGGTACAATTTGCTTAAGGTACATTTTGTTACACTCGTATGCTTGTTTGTAGGATTGAAAATCAGTGTCAAAATGGGAACTCGGATGCTTTATTTACATACTTCGTGGTGCCTTTTAGGCTATGCTGTTAATTGCAGCGATATTGCGGACTAAGGTAAAATTGTGGTGAAAATTGCGTTTCCGATATTAGCGGCGCAATTGACCGATATTTGGCTTATATTTGAGGTGAAATTATGGACCGATATTCCGATATTTTAGCTTGGGCGTCTTTAGAAGTATGTTATTTTTTGTTTTTTTGGGGCCTTTATTTTGAGCTTTTGACTTGGTCCACTTCACCTTCTTCTTCATCATCTATCTTCAAGTCCTCAACAGCTTCTGCTTCAGCCTCACTCCCGATACTCCAGGAGGTTCAGCTTCTGCTTTATTTTGACAATTTGACTTGAGCCTCTGTTTTATTTTGGAGTCCAGCAATTTGACAAATTTGAAATTTATTTACTGTTGACTCAGATGCTGAACCTATTGCTTGCGGTTAGCTCGTTTATGAACACTTTTCCTATTTTGTTTTGTGAAATTTGTTTAAGTTGATGTTTTGATGTTGAAACTGTACTTTTAATTAATGCATATGACATGTTTATGTATGCATACATATTATATTATATATATAATTCTAAGAAATATTATATGAACCTCTACGTTTGGATCGTTATATGCACTTTTGTATTTTTCAGTGCTATAACAGCATAGCTTTTAGGTAAAGATAAACCCAATGCACTTTGCATCAGTTCATATATTTCGTGATGCTGATTTATTTACCAACTTCTCTTAAACTAATTTTAGTGTTGAAGCCTTCATGTTTATTATCATGTCATCATAAATAGGTTGGAAGCTGAATTATTTACTTATCTTCTGTTCCTTTATCTTCTCTGTTCTTATTTATCATTGAGAATGATTCCTGGAAGATTAGAGTTCCTTGATTGAATGTAACTTGCTATGGGAATGGAGGAGTAGAATAATACAGTTCAGAATTCAGATGATATTTTGATTAGAGAGGGTAGATGTATACATGAAATGAAGTATTAAAATTATCTTGCAGGTCAAAATGTTTTAGAAATAAATTGAGATCTTTTCATTTGTGATGCTGATTCCTAGGTAAATGATGGTTTCAATATAAATAAGAGGTGGCTTTTAAGTACATACCATTATTCCCTTCCTCCCATAAGAACTTGTACAAATCAACTTGATTAAGTACTAACCAATGATGCATACTCCTTGTTACATAAATTTTTTTGGGATATTTTTTGTACTGGTAAACTATTGTAAACTTGTCAGTGATGCATTCTTTGCTGTTTGTATTTCATTTGAGCTGATGAATTTTTGGAGAAAATCAGTTATCATAATAAAGTTGCATATTACTCTGAATCTTGATCTCACAATTCTCAGTGCATCTATTTTCTTCTAAAAGAAAACACAGGAATTATTGCAGTCTGAAAACTTAATTGGGGTTTGTGGGTTTGGCTTGCTAATCCCTATCTTCCCTAGTGTCCAATCTACAAATGCTTTTCAAAAATTTAATGCAGATTGTGCGATTTTACAGGGGTTTGTCAACAATTTAATGGGTTTGTTGTACAAAAGTTTTGCATCTTAATCCTGCTTTGATGACTGTGATTTTATCTTCCTTTTGTTGTTACTGGTAGCGAACCATCTTATCGTTTTATTTTAGTTGCCAAAGATTTATATGCAAATCCTAATTTGATGATTAGGGATTTAGGGCTCTGTTGCTGAATTCAGTTTCATTTGATTGAAGTACCAACTCCATTAGTTTTGTGGTTCAGTGTGTACACTTGTTTTGAAATTCCCAAACAGAAAAACGCAATTATGACTTCCAAATTGGGATTCAATAATTCGTTTTTAAGATGAGGGTATTATTTATATTCAAACTGATATGCTGAAATTCGATTTGTTTTCTTATTTAAAATTATGAAACTTATGATTTAACACTTAATCTTAGAACATTTGGTGAACAGTAGTATTTCTTTCAGGCACTTGATCATAGTGATTTTCTAACAACTGTTTTCCCGACAGCGCTTATTCTAGACAGATTTTTTATTCCAAATAGTGTGTACTCAAACCTTGTTGAAGAGATTTGGAGAGAATGAAAGCTTTAGGATGGTGGTTGATGTTGGTGGGTTCACTCCGGCTGGCCTCTGTATGGTTTGGTTTCTTTGACATTTGGGCTCTTCGCCGTGCAGTCTTCTCTCAAACCACCAGTCAGTCCCCTTTCTTTTCTCTCTTTTAATTTCCCTTAATTGGTGCCATATGCTGTAGATGGTTAGGCTGGTAATGTTTGAAGTTAATCCAACTATCCAAGAAATATATGGTAAATCCTCTTGGCTGCAAATTAAACTTTAACATTCCTATTAAATTCAATTTCATATTAATTTCGGAAACAGTGGATATAGTTCACAGTTGGTTCGTATCACTAGTTTTGGATGGGAATCAGACCCTTTTTAGCTTGTAGTTTTATCTTGATAAGTAGTTGTAATAGGGAAGAGAACTTAGGTGCCATTTACCAAACGCTTTCCCAGGTAAGCGTTTGCTAAGTCACATTAGCTTACGGGATGAATATGGTAAGGACCAAGAATCTTACTGGTAAGAGGGAGACAAGGATCGAGAGTCTTACCCGGTAAGTGAAGGCGATGACTCTTACCATGGTAAGCGCTTACTGGGTAAACTGTTGCATACGATGTCGTTTTGGTGGACTAAAGTCTTACCTGGTAAGTAAGTGGTAGTGTTAAATTTTACCGGTAAACGCTTACCGGATAAGTGTTTGGTAAACGGCCCCTTAGAGCTTTATTGTCAATGGGAGTAAGTAGGATAGTTCAAAAGGATTACTCATGACGGTATCAATTACCCATCTCTGAATTTTTGATTGAAAACCCATGAAAATTTGTAAAATTTCCTTTTAGGGAAAGTCTTCTGGTCAAAATTATGTATTTGTCTATTATAATGGTCAAAATTATGTATTTGAATGAAATAAATATCCATGAAGTGGATGCGTAAGATTCCGTTATTCTTCTCTTCGAATGGCATTTCAGATATTTGAAAAATAGTTGAACACTTCTCTCAAACTAATTACCATGACAAACGTTGCAATTGTAATGGACGAAGCACAGTAAGACTTTAATAACCTCAGACACTTGCACTCCTTGCCAAAATCATTTCAAATTAAGTGGCCGTTTATCAAACACTTTCTCGGTTAAGCGATTTCCAAGTCACATTACCTTACGGGATGCATATGGCAAGGACCAAGAATCATACCAGGTAAGAGCGAAAGCAAGGATGAGAGTTTTACCCAGTAAGTGAGGGTTGTCGTCTCTTACCATGGTTAGCGCTTACCGGGTAAATTGTTGCATACAATTCCGTTTTTATGGACTAAAATCTTACCCGGTAAGTAAGTGCTAGTATTAAATTGTACCGGTAAGCACTTTCCGGATAAGCGTGTGGTAAATAGCCCCTGAGTGCCTACTTTACAATTCTAACTTTAATTATGAGATAGAGAAATTACTTATTCTATGGTAAAATTTAGATAATTAAAAAGTGTAGTAATTACATGTTTGTAAAACTGTATATTTTTTTTTCATTTTTGGGCATTTATTTTGGGACGCAAGGAGTATACACCAATTATATTTTGCATTGCTTGTTTAGACCTAGATTAATCTCCAATGATAATCATAATTCTATCTCAACTCTTGCAATTTACTATCCTTTCTCATTGTGAATACATATATAATTTCTTTCTTGGCTAACCATGTATATAGGGGCAGGTTCGGTTGCAAACCCGTTTTCGGGTTTGAAATGGGGGACAAAGGAGAGCACGCCACGTGTCCATACATTCATGGGTTATTCATCATGAATAATGTATCAATTTATCTTGGATCATGAACGGTACGTGATTCATCATGAATAATTCACGAATGTTCACCTTCCATTGTTCATGATGAATGTGAACACCCAGTGACACAAGTCATGCTCTTTTTTGTCCCCCCAGTTCCCCATCGAAAATGGGTTTGCAACCGAACTTTCCCCTCTCTCTCTCTATATATATATATATATAGAGAGAGAGAGAGAGAGACAGAGATGTATGTATATATTTATATATATATATATATATTAATCCGAACCTTTTTTATGTACTATGCAGTGTCTGAAATTCACGGAAGGACGTTTGGAGTGTGGACGCTTCTTACTTGCACTCTGTGTTTCCTGTGTGCATTTAACCTTGACAACCAACCGCTTTATCTAGCAACCTTTTTATCGTTCATCTATGCACTTGGTCACTTTTCGACAGAATACTTGATCTACCACACCATGGCCATTCAAAATCTCGCAACGGTTGGTTTCTTTGCAGGTATTATTATTATTATTATTCTCGCCACTTTTTGATTGAATCGCAAATAAGTTCTTACTTACTAAAACACAGACTAATCCTTTCTATCCGTTAAAAAGACTCCGTAATCGTGATGGTAGTCCTTGTTCTGCTGCTGTTGTTGATTCTCTTTCAATTTATTTTACCGACCAAACAGGGACATCGATAGTGTGGATGTTGTTACAATGGAGGACACATACTCGATTGAAGAAGGAATGAAAATGTGTCATCTCCTTTCGGCAACCATCKTTGGGCGTTTACGCCTTTTTCATGTATTTGTATCGTAAGACACTTGCAGGATCGGCTTTTGTTGTACTAAAAATAACTAATCTTTGATTCTTTTGTGCTAGACTTCTTGTTGTTGGACCTCTGTTAACTCCTCAACATCTAACCAACATATTAAAAGGCTCGCGGCCGGCCGCCGTGTTTCAAGGCTCGTTTTCACGTCACGTTTAGGTTTAATGCAAGTGGTGTTAGAGTTTAATATTGGGAAAATTGCACTAAAATGGAACCAATTTTAATCTAATTCCTATTTTAGGGAACCAACTTTCAAAATCGTTATTTAGGGGTCTCTATCAAACTTTTTGTTTATTTGAGGGTCTGGTTGATCTGTTGAACAGGTAATAAGTAATTTAAGGGTCTTTATTAAACTTTTGGTTTGATTTGCCAAATTTGATTTAAACTTTAATATTATACGGATTGGTTAGATATAAAAATCTTGAATGTGATATCTAATATTTATTTTTTTATTGCATCAATTAATTTTTTTCTATTAAATTGATTTTTTTATTGCATTAGTAAAAAACGATTTTTATTGTGAAATTTGGATTTTTTTTAAAAAATCTTCAATTTGATATATGAATTTAAAAAAAAACGAGATTTGAAAAGAAAATTAGATTTTATTGCATTAATTTTTGAAAAAAAATAAATTTTGGTTATTTTTCTATAATTATTTTGCAAGTTGGTTCCTCAAAATATGAATCAAGTGTAAGTTGGTTCTCCAAAATGACGATTTTAAAAGCTGGTTCCTCAAAATATGAATAAAGTGAAAGTTGGTTCCATTTTGATATAATTTTCTTTTTAATATTCATTAAAATACAATTTCTAACACAAATTCTAAAGTACCATGTTAACTTTAGAAATTATCTATAAATTATTGACAAGACTTTCTAATCAATTTCTAAAGTGACAATTCATCATAAAAAACTATATTTTCAAACAAAAACAAAACTATAATTAAATATTTTTTTTATTATAACTTAATATCAAATAATTTATTAATTAAATAATTA